GCTGGTTCCAGGGGAGGATGCTCCCAACAGATAAGATAATAGGGCATGGTCCAGGAGGGAACATGGGATATGACAGAAGGAAAATTTTTTCTAACTTTGTTGTGGTTAGTTTTCATGTTCATATTTTAGTGGGAGCTCAGAGGTTAGCATGCCCATGTAAGATCCTGATTGACAATCTTACTGCCTCATAGAATTGTTGAGGAATTAAATGAAATTGTAGATTACAAGTCAAAAAGGTCTCTGGCTTATAGTAAAACTAACATATGGTAACTATAGTTTCTATTTCCATGTCCAGAAAGTAGTGTTGAGGGTACCATTCCAGTCACCAAAAGGGCAACTAGATTGAACTTAAACACTAATAGGAATAGAGCTGGTTTATGCCAAAGTGATCCATTTATGAAAGTAATTATACATATAAGAGTAGAAACAATTCTTAGCACATAGTAAGTACTCAATAAATGTGTATTCAATAAGAAAGTCCTTGATTACCTCTAAATGTTGTGGAAGTATTTAGCACCATATAAATAATATTTAGCATTTATATCAACATTAAATTTCCTGTTTTTTCCTATTTGAAAACAAACATTTTGAGTTGACTAATGTTTTGGAGTTATAATTTTTATATTGATATTAGTAGTCTATAACATTTTTGGAAAGTTTTATTTAATTCATAAGTGATTTTCATTATGTTTCACACTTTAAAAAAGTATTTCATATCTACCATCACTATTATGTAATTCTACTCATATATCTACCTCTACATATCTATATATAATACTAGAGTGAATTGTCACAGTTACCTATAGATATTTTCTTCTTCCAGGATTAACCTTCAAATCATTGCTTGAATAAAACCTTGAAAATATATTTAGAAATTAAGTGAGTATTGATAATTAAATGATAATATTATTGTTACTAATATTAACATAGTAAAACATACAGGCAACTATTCATCTAATGAAACAAACTTAACACTACGTACACAAGTTGCTGATTTCATAAACGAATTGTGGGTATTTACTCTGACTTCCAAATCATAGAGGAGTTAACTTTTAAATTGATAGGTACATTATTTCTGATTCATTAGTTCTGAACCATGCAAAAATAAACTGAGTTTTAAATTAACATTATGCCTTCTCCTCCATGACTAAAACTCACTAGTTTCTCTGTCACTATATTATTTAATTTTGTCTATGATGTTGAACACTTTGTAATTTATTTTATAATCCTGGATAGAAGATAAGTTTGCTGGAAGTCAGGAAACTCTTCCAAACTGGGATACCACTTATCTCAGGGCATGTTAATTCACCCAGATGCAAAACAAGCCATGGGAGAACATACTTGCATTATCAGGTACATTGTGCCAGTTCTATCTTGTCTTAATATAGCTATGAAGTGAAAAAATCCAGTTTAGTGATACAATTTTCATTCCTCTGCTGGAGTTCATCTGAATATCACAAAAGTAACTGTCATTCTTTTTCAGGAAGAGCATAATAGATGTTGAAAAGTTTGGAATAAAAACAGGTTTTGGTTTAATTCTCAGAAGGGTTTTGCGGTCTAGGTAGTTAATCTCCTCCAGTGTCATAAAATCCTTCTTAGTCCCAAGAAAAAGGAAAAAGGCACACAGAATGCAACTCCTTCCTAGTATCACATTTATATTCCAAACCTGCGTAATGTCTAGTTTAATTATGTCTTTACTAAATGTCACAGGACTCCAAATCATCACTTTCACTTGCCTTTCCCACGATCTCAACAACCTGTGGAAAAACGTTCAGTAATCTTCTCAAAATGGCTCCCTGCAGCTTTGCTGTGCTGTCAAAGGTTTTCCCATTGTCTTAATCTCCAACACCAGCACAGGCACAATACCCATTTTCCTCTCCCTGTCTCTCATAACCAGTAATTCATCAGTTCTATTAATCTCCATCTGTGTTATTCATCTAGGCTTTCCCTCTTGTTCATTCAACAAAAGTGTATTGCACTCCCCTCAAGTCAGGAGTCTCAAGTAGGTGCTAAGTGCTAAGGTCACACATAGAGGGAAAGTCATGTTTTGTCCTCCAAGTCCATATTTCACGCCATTATTCCACGTCAGGCCTCTATAGCCATCAGGCCAACAGTATTAATCATAGCTGGGTCTTCTTGTCTTCCATTTTTTCCTACCTCCTAAGCCTATTACACCTGAACTTATCTTGTTGCTCCCCTTACTCTAGTGATTTAATGGTTGTGCATATAACATCCACTCTCCATTCAGATAAATTACATAGATGGAAGAAGGGTCTCTGACAGTTGAAATATCCAGTGAAGCTTGGATCCACCTCTTTGCTCCTCAAATTCCAGCTAATGCCAGTTCACATCTACACGAAGGAGTACCCCCTGTTTCAGACTGCATTAGAACTGACAGACAGGAAGTGCACAGTTCTGACTAGAGAAGATTTAAAATAAATAATTATTTCAAGATGGTTTTCTTTGCACAGTATGTAGGATGGACTAAAAAGGAAAGAGCTTTAAAAATTCCTCTGCTGAGGTTAATGAGAGCCTTGGATTTAATATACTTTAAGGTTCCTGGCTGGGAGGCTTCTGGGAGGGAGAACGAGGATTGGAGCAGGGAGGGTGGTCCGGCTCCAAGTTACTAGCTGAGTGGAGGCTCCTGGGCTTCTCATGCTGACACCAGGTCTGGCACACAGCATGCTCAGCACGCCCTTCCCTCCTAGAGGCTGAACTCTGGGCCTCTGAATCCTTTTTTGCCACTAAGAGGGCTTTAGCCAACTTAATTAATGGTCTGAAAATCAATTTTCCCTTCTCTAAATTTGGGACAATCATTTCTACTTTCCAGTATCCATACACAGTAATTCCTCGATAACTAGTAGCTATAATAGGTAATCTTAAACATAGATAACAGTGATCCAGTACAAGAGGTTCTTCACATACATGGGCTAACGTCAATGGAATTTTTTTAAGTTTGTTCGTTACTTCAAGTGCTGAAGAGTAAAATTTGCCCTTAGAAACAGTTGTTTTCTGAAATTTGTTATACTTTTCATAATAATTATCTGTTAAGTATTGGAAGAGAAATGAATTCCTAGTAAAGATTCTTTCAAAAAGGAAATCATGTTGACTACTTATTAAAGAATGTGCAATTTTAATGAAATCACAGCTGTCTTAACTAAACTATAGAGTAACAAAAATGCTCATTTAGTTAGCTAAAAGAGATGGTGCAGTATCATTTGTATGTCCATTGCTTGGTGCCAATTAAAACCTGAATGGTGCATCATGCTTTGTGCAATACTTACAGTGAATCCTGTGTTACTCTGAATATATTTATGGCCTCCCACTTGCCACTTGTAATTTGAATAGCATTTTCCTATAAAAAGACAAACATTATGTTGTGTGAAGCTGAGCGTTATTTGAGCAACCTCAAGTGAATGATCTTTGAGGAGATAAATCTTGGAAGGAACGTACCACAGTGTCTTTGATATAGTGAATATGTTTGTAGCCATCCTTGTCGCTAAATATTTTGTAGTATGAAATGGCATCATAGCTAAAAACTGGTGTTGAAACAAAGAACTGAAAGAAATTAGCAGAGGTTATGTTCAAAAGACAAGCCGAAGTAAAACCACATATTTTTTTTAAAGCAATGTATGGTCACGTTCACAGGAGTCAGAGTGCCTTGTCTCCCCTATCTCTGTTCACTCACATCTGCATTCCAGTTTTTCAGATGACAGCTTTTCCAGTGATTCTAACAGGCACTTGTATATTCCAACTACTGCTTGATTGCTGCTCCATAGCCTTAGCTTTGCAGTATTTAATTTGATTAGATTTTGGAGGTTATGTGGTTTGAAATGGAGTCAAAAGCATCACAAATGTTTGGTATTTAACCAAACTTTCAAATGAAATATTTGACCAAAGTATGGTTCTCATTAAAGCTTACGGCCCTTTTAATTTTTTGATTAATCTAATGTCAAGCACCAAATGAAGTAATGAAGAAATTTTAAAGATAAAAATATATAGCCTGCTAGCCATAGATTTTTAAGGATGGGAAGGGGCTTCTGTACTTGAGAGGAAAATGTTACTGATGATGAGTAAAGAAGCCAGTTAACCACATTGCCTGAGTTTGACTTTTTGCAGGTTATCACTGGGTAGCAGTTGGGACCACATAATTACATAAGGAGTGCCAGTCACTCGGTGTGCTTTGGAATAGAACAAACCATGCTCCAATGTCTTAAATGGTATAGACAACTGAAATTCTGCAAATGACCTCCACTCAAACTTCTACCAATATCATGTTTCTCTCATTAAAAAAAAACAAACTATTTGTCTTGCATTTATTGACTTCTTTTTCAGGTTATCATTGGTAAAGTGATAACATATTTGTAAAAGAATTGCATGAAAAAAATAGTTACTAAGAGTTACTCTAAATCATGCAGAGCAGATATTTCTATAAGAATTTTAAACCAGGTCTGTCTAGTTGGCTTCTCTCCCTTTGACTATAACCAAGATGTTCAGCTCTTTGAAACTGAGTCAAACAACAAAAACTAAAACATAACGGTATCTATTAGTTATAAACATCTATCCTTCTGAGACCTAGTCTGGGACCCAGTTTCAAGCAAGAAAGTAAAGGAAATTGCTGTAGGCTTCTTTAATGATAGCTCCATATGTGATCTGATATTTTATGCCTTTGGATAAAATTGATCACTATTTCTCTTAAACTGATTGTGAATATGTGCTATTAAAATGCAATTAATTTTATGTATTTGTAGTGGGCTGACTAATGTTCCCCCTTAATTACTTTCCATGTGGGACCTCAGAATGTGACTTAATTTGAAAATAGGGTCTTTACAAATATAATCACAATAAGAGTAAAAAATGTGCTCCTAGCAGATTAGTTGGCCCTAAATCAATGACTACCATCTACATAAGAAGAAAGAGGACACAAAGATACTGAAGGACACTGAGAAGACTATATGAAAGCAGAGGCAGAAGTAGAATGACATAACAGGAAAATGAGAAACACCAAGGATTGTGAAGAACCATCGGAAGCTGGGAGAGGCTAAGAAGAATTCTTCCCTGGAGACTTCAGAGGGCCTGTGGCATTGGCAAGGCCTCAATTTTGGACATCTGTCTTTCAGAAAGGTAAAAGAATAAATTTCTTTTGTTTTTCTGTGTTATTTAATACAATTACTTAGGAAACTAATACAGTGTCCTAAGTTTTATATATTGGATGCTAAATTAAATAAGCAAGAAACCATTATCCTGAGGTTGTCTCCATAATTTCCATTCTGTATAATGAACTCAGTCTAACATCAAAATATAACTCATGAATATAAATTTAGTGTCAGCTAATCACAGGTAGTCAACTCATCACACTATGCCTAAATAAGGCAGGTTCCTAGCTGTAGCCAATCAGGTGAGTTTTCTACTTTGCTTCTGTATTCAGCTCAATTGCTTTCTGAGTGGAGTTATCTGAACTGTTTCTGATTCTGAGGGCTGTCTGGCTCATTAATTAATCTTTGCTCAAATAAAGTCTACTAAATTTAATTTGTCTAAAGTTTTTTTTCTTTTAATAAATCTTTAACTAAATGGAAAAATCAAACAATGAGACACTGTTGTCTCTTTATATGATTCCTTTGGTAGTTGATCAATAATAATACCAGCCTTGGTAGGATTTTGCATATTAAGACTAATGCCTTTAAATGAAATTAAGAGTCAGGAGATCCAGGAATAGGAAACTGATTTGTAATGTTGTGGATGGAATTTCATTAGCATAGGTCTTTGAAAAATTCATTCTTTCATTTCAGAATAAAGTTTTGAACTCCTAGCCAAATGATGATATAATTGTTATAAGTTCTCTCTTTATGTCATCACCCTCTTACTCGTCAGTGTGAAAGACAAAAACTGATTCTACACTGTCATATGCACTAATATGGAATTTTCTTCAAAAATATTTTTAAGGTAACAGTAAAAAAAGAAAAAAACACTTTCCACACACATGTGGTCAGTTGGGGTAATTTTAAAAGGTTTGATTGGAGTAAAGCTTAAAATTTCATTTTTTTTTTAAAACAAATGTTACTAGGGCAGAGTATTATGTTTTAAAATATTAGAATCAGGCAAACAGGAAGAATCTTCTGCTAAGCAAAGACTGTTATCTTCTCCCCTTTCATTGCACATAAAGATAGTTGCTGAGTCAGGTATCAGGTAACTTGGGTAAGGTAAAGAGAGTGTGAAATATTTCCTCTTACTTTGCCAAAGCCAGGCCCATAATGCATTCTAAGTTAAGTGCTTCTATAGCAAGTCACACCTGGGCCCTAGATAAGCAAACACAACTAGGCCATCTTCCATTTTAATGAGGCCCCTGCACTGGTTCCTTTATCATGCTCAGATTTTCTGATAGATTACTCATCTCTATGTGAAGTGCAAAGTCATTTAAAATATTTTAGATGGAAAGTAAGATTACTTACCAACATGTCATATCTTGCCATGGTTGTTGAAATGACACAAAGCTGATGCCTAAGCTGAGTTCAGATTCAGCCAAAAGCATAAGCTTTCAAACATCAAGAAGAAATTTTTTCTTTCTTGAACCAAAGGATTTTGCCAACAGTCTAAAGAAGGTGTAATGTGGTGCTTAACAAGTTTACAATTATTTAAGTATGTCTCTACAGTCTAATCTTTATTGTCATTCTTTATTAGAAATCTTTGCAATGAGAGTGAGGTTTACCTTCTTCCTTACCCAAAACGCCAAATACTGACCTAGGAATAACTATTTTTTGGAAAGTCAGTTTCTGATTGATTAAGAATGCAGAAAATTTAGAGAAAACTTTTCTTTCACCAAATATTGCTTTGGTAGTGGAGAATCTGTCAAGCGTCATTAAAACATAATGAAAAAGATAGCAAAATCATACTCCACCAGCCCATCCAGTTCTGCTTTCTTCTATATGCTCCTGGGCCTAAAAGACAAAAGATCATATCATAGCATTAGGCGGACATTTTTTCCTAAATGTAGTCTGGACATTTGGAACCAAGTAAGCTTCACAGTGAGTGTGTTAACTGCTAGTCAAATAAATTCAATACTGAATTTAAGAGAGCTCTGTTAATCTTATATAAGAGTACTGCCAAACAAACATGGGTAATGTAAGTGCCAGATCTAAGTTCTGATTTTATTCTGGTTAACTCTTTAATGAGGCAGTGCCTTAGAATTATCAAATATCTATGGAAGCCCAGCACAACCCAAGCATTTAATTTGGTGTAAGTAAAAAAAAACCTTCATAGTAAAGTTTAGGTTAAATTCTTTCTTTTCTCAGTCTTAGGAAGTAGCTAGAAATTTTAAAATTTGTGCTAAATCTTATTTTGCTTTATATTTTAGCCAATGGTGTGTGAGCAGAAATGACTCAGCTTAATTCTAGACCTCATATACATGAGTCTCCACTCTCCAGTTGGACATTAATGCTCAGGTTTGAATAACTTGGATTAGTTATGCCATGCATAAAATCTTCCATGTATAAAGACAGTCTTGTATCACTTGGATTCCTAAATGACTATATGAGTGGAATACCATATCCTTTACCTCTTGCATATTCCACTTACCTGTACTCTCTATTAGATAATTATATGAATGTACAATAAATTTTTGCTGTATTAACCCACTGAACTATTGGAGGTGGGTTAATCTACCTTGTAAACATATTAAATCAGAGAATAAGATTTTGTAGAGATGTCAGAAGAAAGAGATAGGAAAAGAACAGTCAATGAAGTAGAAGGAGTGCAATGACAGAATGTACTCTCATAAAGGGCGTGGGGAAAATAAATTTTAAGAACACAGTTTGGACTTATTTCTAAATAAACTGGCCAGTGCCTCAGAGAGAACGAGTAAGGAAAGACTTGAAAAAATAGTGAAAATTTTTTGATTAATTATTCTAAGCAGTAAAGATAGAATTAATTTTAATCACTTTTTCATAGGTTGGGGAAGAATAATATAGAAGAGTTTCCTTCCTCAAGCTACAAATTTTTTAATAAATCTTACCATTATAATTATATTATAAGCAACTATTGCCGGTTTCCATTGCCTCTGTTTTGGGTATGATTCCCAACATGAATAAAATATTGATAGAACATTTAACCTTAAATACTATTGGTTTTCAAAACATAAACACATGACAATCATGAATATGGTTTCTGGAAAATTCAACATAGTTCTCAAGTCAAAAACTCTGTCTCATATATCTACCAGACTATTTTGAAATAAAAATTGTTTAGCTATCCTAAGATTATTCAGATATGCTATTTCAAATGTAATCACTTTTCTAGCTGTAATGTTTATATTCGTTACCTCACTGAATAAGCATGTTAAATGTTCTGTCAGTTTAGGTTAAAGTTGTGTCAGATTTTGATAAATTAGAATCTCAGATCTCAAAGCAATCAGGCTTTTAAACGTCAAGTTTTGTTAGTTAAAAAGTGTGTCTCAATGATAAATCTCACAACTTTAAACTAATAAATTAAAACAGTACTTCCTAGTACCTATATCCACGAGAGTGTTAAAGATGTGTTCAACCAAAGGTGACTGATCAGAACAGTGGTTTCTAATTAACCAGTTTAATTAAGAATAGTCTCTTTTTACCTATGATACTACACTAAGAGCCAAAATCTTTGACTTTGTATATCAAAATATGAATAAGATAAAAAAAAATAAACTTCTAACATGTTTCATCAAAATTAGTCAAACCTCTTTCAGACACAGCAGTGACTTAAAATATGTTTTTAACCTGAGTAATATTGACTATTATAGTCCTGACATATTTCCAAACAGACTCATACAACTTTTTCCTTGTAAAACACAATGTCCTAATTTCTGGATAGAATTTACTTGATTGCTCTGTGTTTTTTCCCCTACTTTATTAGATAGGTTTATTCTATATTTGGTTTGATGAAACATTTATTCATAATTAGAAGTCTCATGAAATGAACCCATCAGATTTCCTATTTAAACATTTTGCTTTTCTTATCTTTATTAAAGTATGTAAGAACAGGCATATGTTAAAGTCTTTATGCTGGTGAAGTAGTGTTCTGACTCATTAATTTCAATAGACTATGTTTATATTTGAGCAGTAGAAACAATTAAAATTCAATACTAAATCTGCCTAATTTTCAAGGAACCCACCCCCCTGAATTAGTACATTATGTAGCACTCTTCTAAGATAACTGGATAATAGGATTATTAGATATAATATTTCATGTCATGTTCTCAGTGACATGATTTTAAAATGTGAATATTTAGTTATCTTTTAATAATATCCATTTCCTTTGGAATTTTTATTTTCCAACTTTGACATTGAATAGAACATCCTCTATTTGCACTTCTTCTCTGGTTCTTTGGTGTAAAACATACCTGTTCCCTATTAGACCCACTTTTGTTTCTGTCATCACTATTTTGCTTTTATTAACTGCTAATCTTACAGTCTCACAGGGTGGATGGCCATCTTCACAGAGAAACAGATACCTGATTTCCACAAAGTCACATTGTTTTATTGAGTTTTTTCCTCCATTGAATTTCAAGGCTAAAGTCATTCAAGAAAACAGGTATCCTATTTATTTAATAAAAATGAACTATGAATATGGAGTACATTTTTGCAAAGCAATCTCTAGCTATTCTGGATTTATAAATATAAAATATTAGCTATAATAAGTATCCATTTGTGCTTTCATCTTCAGAAATGCACATTGGTGGTTTTATGATGCTTTACCTTTGGGCAATCCCACGTATGCCAGTCTTCCCTGAAATCACAGATAGACATGACTGAGACATTCTGTACTCTTTTTAGCCACTGCAAACATATTCGTTCATCAGTAACCCATGTGAGCCAACTGAAATAATAATCACTGCAAATAGATCAAAACAGGTAGTCAAAACAATAACCCCATATCACATTTAAAAATTATTATGGCATACTTACTCAGTAAATAAGGGGAATGAAATTTTTCCTGAGGAGAAAATTCAAATAGATCTGGTGACTAAAAAAACATGGGAGTTTATGTTTTGAAATAAAATTATTGAATTTATTTCATACTTGAATTTTCCTTACATTCTTTGAGTTTTACAATTTAGGAAAGAATTTAAGGCACAAAGCCAAAGCTACTGGTCAATCTAGAAGGGATAATTGCATTAAATTTCCTATTTTTGCACAGGGAAACTCAATTTTTCACTTTCTAATAAGTGTAGAAAGAGCCAAGCACAGAGAAAAGACCATCTTTCTCTTCTGGTAGGTTTGTGTTAAAAGCAAAGTTTTAGCTGTGATTATGGTCAGACATTGAAATCTCAGCTAATAATAATAATTAGATGATGCAGATTCAATAACTTTATTAGTATAAGTAAGTGAATGGATGCAATGATAACTTGTCTTTGAGGATAAACTGTAGACAGGAAAACATCGATGCTAAATGAGCCACAGAATTTTGGAGTCTTCCATGAGCTGGAAGGTGTCTCAGGTGCAATTAATTCCTGGCTTTATGTTCTACTAATTGTCTAACATTAGTTAACCATTCTGTTTCTCTGTTTTTAAATAAAGTTTCTGATTTTAAAAATCTGTAAAAATTACCTGAGAGTACTTAAAATGTTGAAGAACTATGCCTGTTACCTAATAAATATTTGCAATATGTAAGCCATTGCTGTTACATCCTCAGTACTTTTCAGGTGTTTCAAACAAACCTCTTGATTCCTTACATATCACTTCCATTACTTATTTGCCATCTAAGGAGCATAGCACTTTTTTAAAAAAATGATGACATCGAGTCAAGTTTCTATTAACTAGTTTGGGGTGAGGAGTAGCAGATAATTTGAAAAAATTAAAGTAATTTTTGGTTATCCAGATGTGGATTCTCCCTGGCAAGGCCAGTGGAACCCTCTGGTAGTGTTCTTTTTCCTATTAGTGGTTAACCATTCAGCCCTAACTGATTCTCCTTCATGAGACATAGGCAGAGGACTGGGAAGTGATAAGGAGGCTCACCAGTCAGGGTTCAGTGACCATATTCGTTTACCTGTTTCAACTGGAAAGATCACAGAAGAGTGACTGAGGGCTAGAAGGTTGCTCTTAACAGGAATAATTACATAAGATGTACAAAAGTCATCATGTTGCAGAAGTAAGAATATTTCATTTTCCTGCCTTTCTACAAATAAATCTACAATCAGATAATTGAAAACAGACCACTTCCTAGTAAAAATAAGATGATATTTGGAGAAGGTTGGTTTATCTTTTCTTATTTACCATGAATATGTAATTCACATAGATCCATAAGCCTTCACTTGAGGGAAAGAAGACCAGACTTGAAGGGAGCCAGACTGAGGACACGTATAAACTTTACGATCTGCCTTTAGACCCCCAAGTGCAGATCTGTGCAGCTAAGAAAAGCTTTACTTAGATTGATTACGATGGTCATTTACATATGTAAAAGGAATACTTTTTAAAAACCCATTTGAGAAACTTATTTATGATTTTTAATTTTGTATTTTGCATGTGAATTTTAATTTTTGGTTATAGCATGCACACAAACTCACAAGAAAAGAAGTAAAAATGCTGATTAAGAAATTTAGGAGTGTTACAAAGGTGAAAGAAATCTGAGATTATTACCTTGAGGCTATCATTGCTGGAACTGGCACTTCTATGGGACCCACATGCTGAGGGTAAGTGGTATCAATAATAAATATCCGAACAGTAGGATTCTTAGCTCCAGCCTGATAAGAAAATGGAGATATACAAGCTCATAAAATTCCACTTACCACCAATATTTTAAAGACACTTTAGGAATTTAGGCATATTTTATAGGCTAATAAAGCATATTACTGTTGAAGATTCACAATTTATATGACGCAACCAGGAACTTCATTTCAATTTAATTGCAGGGAAATTATGAATGTTGTATCAACCAGAGTAGAAACACATATTTTATAAGTGCTTAATGAGAGAGCTTTCATTTACAGGGGAAATATTTGGAATATTAAAATGCAGTTCTTCAATCCACATTCTCATTTCTGATTTTTAAGACAGATCCCTCTGAATAAATTATTAAAATAATAGTGATGATAGTCATATCTCTCTGTGTTAAGGGGAGTAGAGAAGAGATCACTTTGAGAATAGAAAGCAGAACTAAATGAAACATCCTTTTTGTTCTTGCTATATAATTTGGATTAGAAAAATTACCAAATTCTCATTCTCCTAGCTGCTTGCATTACTCCTGTTACCAACCCAAACTATTAGAAAAATTTCACTTCTAAATAAAGGACCATTCAGGTGCATCTGGAAGATTCTTGGTTCTTTAGCATTTTCCCATCTCTCTATCCAATACCAAATATTTCTGCAACTCTAGTCTTCAAAGAAATAAGAGGATTTAAGCCCTACTCTCCAGTCAGTCACTGTCCAGTTTTGGGTTTCCTCATTTTTCTTGTTCCCATAGACCCTCCCAAAGAACTGAGGTCTTTTACATCCTGAGTTCTAAATATTAGTCATCTCACTTCCAAGCATCTCCTATCTAAACATTCATCTCCAATCCAGTGCCTTTTCCTAAGTGACTTTTAACATAAGACTATAGGCAATTCTATTTCTCTCTCTCTGAGTCCTCACTGGTTTGAAACAGAATCCACTTTTCCAAATGCCACATCCATATTGGCACACTTAGGGACTCATTGAAGCCATTCATGACAATGTTCTACTTGTCAAGTAAAAACAATAGGGAAAGAAGGACAAAGAACCACATTCTAACATGTCATCCAATTCCTATGGAAGAGGTGAATTTATTCTTTGATTTTCTTCTCTTAGATTTCTTGTCTAACAAGAAATTAGAAAATAGTATGTCTTCACTGTGACTTGGCCATTTTCTTACTGCACAATTAGATCTTTTTTTTTGCTGACATAAGACTGAATAAAAGTATGTACAATGCTCACTTCCTTTAATTCCCTCAAAGGAATATATTGAGGCTCACAAATTTCACTTATTGCAAAATACCATGACTTGTATCTGCTTCTACCTGATAAGAACATCAAATTCAGCATTTATATTTCCCATTCTATTATGCCTTTAGATGAGAACTCAAGAGGAAATTGAAAAACAGAAATTTACCCTGAATTTGGAGCATGAAATATTTAAAATTAAGTTAAGCTTGTTTTTCTTCCATGATCTGGACCATATGTTTTTCAAAGATTCTGCAATGGATTTTTGCAAAGACTACTTTATCCAGCACAACCAGATGTCCAAAGAAACAGATGTACACATAAACAATAGGCCATATTATAATGTTTACCTTACAATGCAGAAGGACAAGAAACTCTTTAAACTTGTTAATCCCACGTCTATTCATGGTAATAATGGCTCATTTTTACATCAAGGAAATGAAGGCATCTGCTAAAAGTGTTCCACATACCTTTGGGTATGGAATATTTATTGTTCTAGGATACTGCTCATCACCATAATAGGAATAGGCAATAACTGGTATATCTGAGTCATTAAATTCTGCATATGCCAAAAATTTTCCATTAGGAGACCACCAGATAGCATATTTTGTAGCAAGCATTTCCTCTGAAAAATAAGTACCAGTGTATTAATTATAGTTGCATCTACTCTTAAAATCATTGTCAATACTTCTAATGTATATTGATTGGCTAAAATCACTTATTTAATGTGTATGTGACATATGTCATGCGTTGGTTATTAAAAAATAGATCATCTGATCTATTTTTAATAAGAACAGTTTAACCTTATACTCCATATCAAACATCATTAAGTCTTATTAGTGATTGACACTATTCAGAAATGTAATTTTAAAAATAAATAATAAATACATGAGTAACAATTCTTCCCTCAGGGCAACTTTTGGTTTTTATGGTAATCTGCTGTAGCCCAAACAGGCTATAGTACAATCCTAAGTAGACAAAATAGGCTGTGGTTTTACTATAGAATGATATAGCCATTGAAAGTTGAATTTTTCTCCTGGGAATATATAAATGATAGGGTTAGTGAAGATATATCTTTAATAACTATCTATTTATCTATCTATCTATCTACCTACCTACCTACCTATCTATGTCTTTATTAAGACAGGGACTAGTGACTAGATGGTGTTTTAAAGTCCAATTAAGTCTTGGATCCTACATGACCTAGAATGAGGACAAAATTCAAAAGAGGATTAAAAACGAAGAACATTTTCACACAAAATAACATGGACAGTGTATAGTTTTGGAAATAAAAAATATATCTCTCTGAAGAAAAAACAAACATGAGGAAAGATAGTAACACATTACCTAAAGACCATCTACTTCTTGCAATATAAATCATTGCTACCATCATTTCCACCACTTTATAGTAATATTCAGAATATAAATGCATATCCTCTTCATAATCTAATAAGAGCTTTCAGAGGGGCATCAAAATAAGACTCTACTTCTCTAAATCTTACTGATTGTATGAAATTATGTTCAGTTAAAAGCCTAATACAGCAGCAGTAGAAAAGAATACAGCTTACCTTCATAAACCCAATCTGGGATTCCATTAAATATTTTATTTTCTCTTCCATTATACGTTATTTGAAAAGGAAGATCTCCTGGTCTTTGTTTCAAATAGATATTGTATTGATAGACATATGCCTAGAAATGGTAGTAAGTTAGTCAATAAGGGGAAATACCCTAACAAATATAATGAAGGCTCTATATTTGTTTAATTATTCATCTAATATCTTTAAAAAGCAAAGTAATTCAGATGCAAAACAAATTCTCAATTAAAATATTTTAATTGGTTAAAAAAACACAACCAGTCCACATTAACATTAATTATGACTTTAAAATCTATATCAAATAAAGAATAAAGTCTACTACTATATTAGTTATTTTATTACCCAGATAAATAATTATACATATTGACAGACAGTCAAATAAATCTCTGAATATTAATAGCTAGCCAGATCTAATCTTTATTTAGAGTCCTTAAATAAGAGCTTGGACAAAATTTCATGTTGTCTGAAGCTAGTCTGGGAAACTTGTGAAAACCATATTTTTCCTGAGTTTTCTGGCACAACTCATTCTGGCTGAGTATAAGGATAAAGTTTTTGACTGCGATATTTAAAGAAGTCTACCCATGAGCTTGAGATTTTGCGGAATTCTCAGATGGGTTTCAATTTATCCAAACTCTTCCCGTTTTTAACCACTGAAATAGTCATGAATGTATTTTTTTTTCCTTTCAGGCAAAGAAATTTAACAAAGGCCAAAATCAAATGGCTCCTCTTTTATTTAAATGATTAAACACTTCTTTAAACACTTACCAATTTACTCCCAACAGGCGACCAGCATAAATACTGAATTGGACGAGGAAGCGCATATCCAATTATAAATTCTCTAGAAGGAAAGAATGAAACAAAAAGGAAAGAAAGAACACAACAAGCCTTACTATTCAGTGCTGAAATAAATCTTCATGACCAAAAATAAACAAATCATAAAGTTAAGGAAAATGCTAAGGTTTGTCTCTGCCTCTGCAAACCTATCAGAAGCAATGCAGGAACATGGAACTGGAGACATGGATAGTGATTGTCTTTCTTCCACTAGTTACTTAAAAGTCACTTAACTTTTCTGAGACTTGGTTTTCACACTTTTTAGTAAGATAAATGAATAATGGACTTACAGACTGTGGGAACATCTCCAGCAATTATCTAATAGAATTCCTTCATTTCATAGAACACAACTGTGAGCCACAGAGAGATGGTATTACTTTTAAAGAACACATTGCTAGTTCTTGGCAGATTCCAAATTAAACTCAAGTCTTTTAACCCCTAAGACTGTAAAATTTGTACACACCAGAGTAAGATGGTTGCTGAAGTGCTTTGCAGCTCTAAAATTCTATAATTGTGCTGAAGTTTAATATGTGCTCTTCCACATTCTCATTCACAACCCCCATCTCTGTGAATGCATATGCATTTCAAATTTTTGAAAATAAGATGCCATTTGACAATCTCCCCAGGGATCTGACTTGAAATCAGAAAAGGAAAGGAACATCTGATCTCAAGCTAAACCGAAAAACAGATCGTATACTGGGCAGTATGCCTTAAGCTTGCAAAGTTCTCCACCCTTGCGGAAATTTCAAATATTCTATTGGCCAAAAATCTCACTTTGATGTGTAGAGTCACTCTGCAAGTACTCAACTGAGTGACTTGCATTGTGAAGATTTCACAGTTCTTCAGCAAGAATGCATTTAGATTTTCATGTGTTAAAGTGTAGTAGTATGCCATGCTTATGTTTTGACTTTATCTTCTTGAAGATTGTATTAATTGTTTCATAAGAATGTTTTTGTGGGACAACAAAGCAAGACCTACCTCCAAAGTATAATTTGAGGACCCTCAAGAAAAATACCCTGTTGCTTCCTCAAACAATCCCTCCAACCTGGACCTAAGATGTGCCTGACATTTCTACCTTTCTACATTTCTACATATTCTCTGAAAGCTTGGATACTTGTGAAGACCTGTAACACACATTATCTTGATTTATTTTACTAGATCATGAAGCAAAATATCTAGCCAGCATTGAGGAAAACTGTCACAGGATTGATGGGACCAAGAGTGATGCCCTTGGAGGAAGGAGGAAGGGTGCGGCAAGTGGGAATCCTGAGCGACAGAGGGCAGTGTATGAGCACCAGGCCCCTCGGAGGTCAGGAATATTGGAAGTGTGAGGATAAGGTCTATGTAATGACCCAGAAAAAAGAGGTACTTGTCTCAAGTCTGTGTCAGTTTACCTTTGACATTGCTGCACTGCCTAAATTTTCTATTCCGGTGGAATTAGTCTAATGGAATTATGTAGACAGCCCCAAGGTAAAAAATCTTAGTGTGTACCTCTTCATATCTGGCAACCCACGACAGCTGCCATTTTCTGTTTTTTCCTGAGTCACTCAGAATCAGGAAGTGAAGTTACTAATGGAGATGATGCTTTACAAAGTTTGTCATCTCCTAGCTTGAAAGCAGAAACATCTTTTTTTTTCTCTGTGCTTAACTTTTAGACTCAGAGGCATTAAAAAACTTGGAATTAATGTCATTCAGTCATGCCTTGAATCTTAACAAATTTGTCATCTCTCACTTAAATTATACTTATTTACCTGAGCAAAAGAAAATCTGGAAATTTTGTGCAGACAAAGAAAAACAAAACAAAAAAAGTGGTTTGATTAAATACATTGAAGACAAGCTAAATATTTAATACCATTCTAGGCCCTAATGCTTATACAAACCATGATTTAAACAATAATATTGTCATTTTCTTTTGGAATCATTTTCAACTTGGTTAAGCTCAGCATACCATTAAAAGAAAAACAAGCACTTGATTAAAGTCCTAAGAAACTATCCTGAAAAACTAACATTCCCACTTTACTAGACTAAAGATTTTTTGAGGTTAGTTCCTCAAACTCATTTGGGTCTCTCTTATACATGTTTTCACATAGTAGGTGCTCAGTGAATATTTCTTGAATTTGGTGATGAACTGGACACAGGAAAAGGAAAGACTCAGAATCCCTTAGAATGATTTAGATTCTACTTTAAGAAGCAGCTCCTGTTTCCTCATCTGAAAGTGTAAGGAGATCAGTGATTCTTTTATGAATGTTTAGAAAAAGTAGATAACTTTTTAAAATTTTTGTGTTCTTGCTAGACAAAAGGAAAATAGACCAGAAGATTTTTTCAATACTACTTCAAACCATACTATTATTTTTACCTTTTATATAACAGCAAAGAGGGTATCATGTTAAGATGACTAACTAAGCCAATTCATTGTCCTCAGTTAGCCAGAGTGATTTTTCTAAAGTACAAATCTGATCATGTCATTTCCAATTTAAAATCCTTCAATGATTTCCTATTGTCATCAGGAAGAGATCTAAACTCTTTTAAATGGTTTTCTCATTATTATTTGATCTATGTTTTCTGACCTCAACTCCTTCTCAAACTTACACTAGTAAACAGACCCCTCCTCCAATTTCAGCTAAAGTGATACTGAGGATTTTCTGAAAACTCCATTTTTTTTTCTGTTTGTTCCTTTATATACTCTTCCTAGTGTTCAGAATTCTGTCCCTCAGTCTTGTCTATCTGTGGGTTCTTTTAATTTTATATTCTTTTAAGTGATAACCACTTCAAATAGTCAAAATGTATAGAAAATTATGAAAATAATATAATAAATGACAATTTACATACCTTCTAAATTTAAGAGAACATTTAATATTTTAAATGTTAAAACTTTTTCCACTTTTTTTTTTAAGTTGTACTGGGGTTTGAACTCGGCTTCACTGACTTGAGCCACACCTCCAGTCCTTCTATCACTTTTCAAAACTCAATTTTAAAACCAATGAATGAAGTATGTGTTCAGATGTGATTGTTGCAGCTCCCTCCCTTCTGCCTTCCTCTAATAAAAAAAGCCACCCTCCTGAAAATGGTGTCATTCCTCATATACGTTTTTGTCTTTTGGGTATATGTTTATTTTCATAAATACCACATCTATATTTTGCGTTCTGAAAGTAGAAAAACTATGCTGTATATAAACTGCAAAATATGAGTCTAATGAAAGGTGGATATTCCATAGAATTTCCTAGAATTTTTTTTTGTATGGGCTCACATGTATTCTAAAAATGAAGATATTAAGATCAGTAACAAGATAGCATAGTCTTAACTTCAACTCAGAGATGGCATGGAAAAGTCTAGGTATCAGATTTAAGTAGTGTTAATAAACAGCACTGGTGTTTACCTTTTCCTGAGGTCGTAGATATGATATGTTGCTGTGTAAGAGTATCGCCAAAGCTGTCAGAAAGAATAGAGACAAAGAATACAAGTTTTAATAGGCTCATATCAATAATGTATAATCATAGATCATTCAAGTTTCAGAATTATAAAAGGATTATTTTCACAAGGCTCTAGAAGGTATATATTTCAGTTGCAAATTATGATTTCATTTAAATACTTTTACTGTGGACTTTTGTGCTGTTTGTCTATGTTCCAGAACCAATCTCAGTAGTGATTAAGCTTTCACTCCATAAAAAGCATATCCAAAGTCACTTCCTAATATAAAAATCCCATCTTTGACACATTCTATCCTAGGAATTTTTCCTTCATGTTTTATCTAGATTGAAGTAAAGTCACTATGTTTTTCACAGACCACAGGGACTGCTCTGCACCTTGGTAAAGACAACGAGGCCCTTTAAAATAGGATAGAGAATTTCATTCAACATATAGTTTTGTTGCAACATGTCTTTAACTAATTACATTTTTTAAACAATAGAAATTGACAGAATAAATAGGAGACATTTCATTTATAATTCCTTCCGGATAAAATTGTTCTTTTTCTTTTTAAGTATGTGTTGGGGGTTAGTGAGCAATGTTAAATATTATTTTGGATTCTGTTGTATAAAAGGTTTTCAAACTTGACAAAGGTCTTCATCAGGTTGAAATGCAACTTTCTGAAGATCTTGGTGAGCAGCACCTGGGCTACTGGAAAATAATCAGCTGACTGAGGAACCCAGAAGGGGGAAGAATAACTTTTCTTTCTGAATATTAAGGGAGTTTTGCATCTCAGGTAGGATCTGAAAAATGGCAGTCAAAACAAAAGCTTCTTGATCAAAATAACTATTAGATGTTTAACTTGATAATAAAATACTTTGTACTTTTGTCAGTATAAAGTTATAGGACAGCTGCATTCAGTAGGGGGAATTCAATGATAATACATAGTCTGGTTTGGTGGGAGTCTTTCTAAATTAGGCTTTCAAAGACCCAGATTTAAATCCTGTTCTAACACTGACGAATACTAGCACATTTGAGCGAATGACTTAAATATGCTACTTCTTGACTTTTCCATTTTCAATAGTAAAACGCTTTCATGAAATTAAACTGTATAAGAATTGGCTAATGGGTTATGATATTAAATTGCTTTAGAAATACAAGAATAATTCTCTTTTTTAATGGGGATCAGAGTCCCCAAATGAGATTTTCTTCCACCAGAAGAAGGTAATTTCCACTACTTGATAATAACCAGACAAGAATGCTAAATCCTGAACTATTTGTATATGTTTCAGTTATTCTTTTTGGCTCCTTTTGCTTCTTGGATATTTAGAGATGGAGTTAGTGAAGCATTAACTTCTTGAATGTTTACAGATGAAGGTAAACTCTTGTCTTACTTCTATAAACTAATTTTAGATTAATAGGAGATACAATTAAATAAACTCTAAATAGTTGATACCTTTGAGTAGTCGCTTTCTAGATATACAAATTGCCGATCAGGTGATAAGCCATAATTTGAAGCATTCACATTTTTCTGGAATTATAAAAAAGTTAGTTAGAATGCAAAAAATTACAGTCATGTAAATTAGTAGTTCTAAAAGAGTATCATAGCTGAGTGCTGTTGGCTCACGCCTGTAATTCTAGCTACTCAGGAGGCAGAGATCAGGAGAATCGCTATTTAAAGCCAGCCTAGGGCAAATAGTTTGTGAGACCCTATCTGGAAAAATACCGAACACAAAACAAGGCTGGAGGAGTGGCTCAAGTGGTACAGCATTGGCCTAGCAAGCGTGAAGCCCTGTGTTCAAGCCCCAGTACCACACACAAAAAAAGAGTACCATATTGTTAATATATTCTTATATGCATATACTTCCAATATAATTGAAGAAAATGTTCACATGTAACCTAGTATGTACACTAGACAATATGCAGGAGGATGCAATAAACAAGACAGACTTTGTCATGTCAAGAAGCTTATAATGTTAAGCTTGTGAATGAATAACACTACAAATTAGAAAAATCTATAAAAGAGATTCATAGTGTTGCAAAAGCATTAAGGAAGAAGGCAGTAAATTAAAATAAGAGAATAACTGGTTACACAGAGGAGACTGTTGTCTGAACTTGGTTTGAAAAATGGGTGGACCTTTAAGAGTACAGGAAATAGGAGGATTGAAAGCCTGGGAAGACAGAACAGCATGTACCCATAATTCACAGGTACCATTTGTTGAGTGTTTATTCTGTTAGCCACTGTCTCATAAACACTTTCAAATGTTACTTTTCTTAATTCTTCTTTTTGGTGGTGCTGGAATTTGAATTCAGGGGATTGGGCCCATTTTACAGAGAAAGAAACTAAGGCATAACAAAGTTAATGAAATGTACAACCTTGTCCAAAGTTCCAAAATTAGTAAGTGATAGAGCCAGGATTTAAATCTCAATTAGCCTGACTCTAAGGACTAAGTTCATAATTCTTTTGCTTTCCACAGGAGAAGAAAGATACTAGGTTACTTAGAACAAAGCAGGACAGAAGTCTAGTGTAACTAAAACACAGCACTGGGGCCTACAGGGGAGATAGAGCTGGGAAAGCATATTGGATCCAGATGAAGTGCAAAGAATTGGAACTGGTCCCTTGGTCAGGGAAGCGCTGGCAAAGGTTTCTAAGGAGAAAGATGACGTTGATACATACCATGGTGATGTTACTCAACAGGACATATGATTCTCCTGTTTCAATATTATAAAGTACTATGTTATTATCTGAAGACTGATGAAGATATTCTTGCCCTTTAAATAAGAAAGAAAGCAAAACTTGAAATGATTTCTCCTAACGGAATAGATGTACAACAAAAGGAATCTATGTTCTTCACAGACTTTGTTTTTCTTTTTCCTCCCTGTCAGTGCATATTGCTGTGTCAGATTTAAAATAAGAAGTTGGTGAGGGAAGGGAGGAAGGGACATTTCTTTATGCTTCACACAATGATGCTATATGTGCTGGCAGTGGTCCTATTCTAACTGATTCAGGTGCTGAGAAATGAAATTATGTTTTCTTCCAGTTGCAGAGAGGATAAGCTAGTTTAAAATGGTGTGTTTCTTTTGCAATAGTAAAAAATAAATTATGTTTGGATTTCCCTGCTTTTGTTTAAGACCTTTTCTTCATATGAATTTTCATATTCTAAATAGAAAAACTAAAAATACTCTATTTTATTTAGTGGCACTTTCCATGTCCAACTATAATGTTCTAAACTGTTTAGTTGCTCTCACTACTTATTTGATTAAACCTATTTGATCACTTTCTAATTGGAAAAACTATGTGTAAACACCATTTTTTTCCTTTTAGTTATTTTTCAGATAGGGTCTAGTGCTTTTGCCTAAAGTTGGCCTCTGATTGTGATCTTCCTACCTCTGCCTCCCCCATAGCTGAGATTACTGACATTATGACCATATCCTGTTTGTTCTTTGAGATAGGGTGGTGCTCTTTTTGCCTAGAATGGCCTCAAACCACAATCCTCCAATCTCTGCCCGCCAACTAGCTGGAATTGTAAGCATGAGCTTCCATACTTAGCATATATACATCAATTTTATATCTTGAAAGGGTTCTGTCTGTTTTCTAGGTTGTCTAGATTTATGATGGAATTTCTCTTTGGGCAAAATTCTTGTGACTTCTAAACAGGTACACATCTTCCATTCTCAAAAACTATGCCAGATTCTGAAATTATTTTAATAATGTATTCTCAATTTTTATCTTCATATTAAAACTCCTATTGACAAAACCTACTATTGGGCAAACTCAGTATGAATGATCTTATCAAAAGTGCCTTGGTGGATGCTTGAGTTTTCTTAATATTTCTTCTTTTTGTTCATTTCACTTGATATGATTTCAGTTACAGAAGATGCATTAGCATTAAAACCAAAACCAAATGCATTTAAAAAACCCCAGAAAATAAATAATTTACTTACCTGAAATCCAGTTTGGAAAATATGTTTTATAAGAGAATGTCCCATTTAAAATATCCTTCAGGGTGAGTGCTCTCCTTGTTCCCTCTTCAGAGTTAGGGACTTTGAAGGAAGGAGAAACATGTTATTATTAAACACAAGGTTAATAGCTCAAATAAGTTCTAATCTTGGCCTTCATCTGATCTTTCTCCTATAAAGACAGGACCTGCAATTGCAAAGTGCTTGCTTAGCTCTGATTTTTTTTTAATGTTTTAGTAAGGATTTATTTTAGTATAACAGGATAAAGTATAGACAGGGGTCAGGGACAGAAAAAAAGAGATCAACATTTCCTGTTCCCCACACAGGAAATGGAAGCAATATCTCCAGCTCTGATCTTAATACATTTTTGTAGACAAGGTAACCTAGGCTTAGAGGTAGTTTGATTGTCTGGAAGGGACAATTAGTGGGAACGTGTAGAGGAAGATGAAAACTATAGGAGGTGACCACACAGAGCAGTTGGGACATTATTCTTCAGGCAGAAAACAGCTGTTAGGGGGTTCTGAGGACAAATATGAGATGAAATTACAACAATTCTGGCCCTTGTACAACTGGGATTACAGATCATGTGGGTTTGACTAAAAACCCAGCCTCTTAAGCAGTTCACTATACTTCCTCACATCATGTACTCCATTGTACTTTCTCATTTTCAATACTTGAACTGGATTTCTATCGATTTTTCAGTGATATCTTTTAGCATTCTACTTTGTTAAATGAGATCAGCCAGAATCTGTACCTTCAAAAATCTCAATAAAGGTATTAATGAGTATGGGTAACTTTCTTATCTTGATTATGTATTTTTATAAAAAGAAATTGAATAGGTATAAAGAGAAACATATGATCTCGGCTAAGGGTCTTACAAATCCTGAAAGTATAGAATTCCCATGGAAAAAACTAACTTAATGTAGTTCACAAACCACAAGTGAATTTCATCCTTATTTGAAACACAATTGTGTTTTTCAAACACAACAGTATTTTCATAGAAACTCATTAGACAGATCCCTTAGGCAGTTACATATTTATAATGTGGCAAATATCTCCGAATTCTTTCTCCAGGTCCCTACTTATAACTCCAACCTTATCAAAATGTTCACCACTTCAAATAGTATTTATGAATCTGGGACTTGTCCATATAAAAATAAAACTGTCAAAGATAGGAGACATAATATTATCCTTCCACTAAAATTCTTGCATCGCTTCTCAAGACTATTCTTATCAAGACTAAAAGTACTAACCTTGGACTGTAGGCCCTGACTGGTCTGAGAAAACCTACCAGAAAAGCCTTCCTTCTTGAGCCTTTTTCATTACTGTCTATACTCCAAACATTCTGGGCTATGTATTCCTCAAATACCCCTTTCTCTCTGCAGGCTTATGTACCTCTTTCCACATCTTCCTTTATCTCATGATTTCTATTCAGCCTTTGATGCTCAATTCCAGGTCACTTCCTCTGGGGAGCCCTTCCTGACTCCTACTTAGTCAGGCTCCCTTATTGCACAATTCCCATAGGCTATGTTCCTTTCTTTCAGAGAACTTGTCTTGGTTTTCAAACTATGTGTGCAGTCATGTGATTATTTGATTATTATTATTGATTATATAATCAAAACAGTTGCCATAAGGCCAGAGACTACATCTTATTTTGCTCCTCTCCAGTGTCTAGCATATAGAGGCACTAATAAATACTTGTTGTATGAATGAATTCATGAAATGATGGATATGATTGAATGGATGAGATATGTACTTTTCTTTTGATTTCCTATATGGCTTTGGTCAGTCTCTGGCACCCCCACTTGCTCTCCTATAATGTAAGGGAAATGTCTTCCAACCATGCTTTTCAAGATTTGGAAATGTGAAACTCAACCTACTCTACAATCTTGAAGTTACATAAATTAGCATAAAAAGTCTTCTGCTATCTTAACCTGATGTGTGGGTATTCCATGCATTTGATAAGGACCTTTTTTTTTTTTCTTAATTTAGCAAAACTTATTCTGGTCATTATGCTATAAGAATACAAGTGTCTGTTGAGCCTCTTTATAACTAGACATTGACTACTTCATCACATTAAAGTAGTCCATAGGTTATTTTGTGTGGGTAAACGTTTGCAGTACTAGGGCTTGAACTCAGGGCCTACTCCTTCAGCTACTCCACTAGTCTTTTTTTGTGAAGGGTTTTTTCTAGACAAGGTCTCGTGGAACTATTTGCAAGGGCTGGCTTCGAACTGTGATCCTTCTGATCTCTGCCTCCTGAGTAGCTGGGATTACAGGCGTGAGCCACCGGCACCTGACATATTTTAAATATTCATGTTCCTACATTCTCTCTGCATTCTAAGGTTGCATATTCCACACAATCATTTATGTGAAACTTCTATTTAATTGAATGGTGCTGTGCAGAATTTGTACCACTGACTTTGTAATTCCCATTCAATAAATAAAAGAGCTTTTATAATAGTATTAAAATAATTGTCAAGAAACAAATTCAATTTTATTTAGCTTTCCTAAGAGTAAATCACTATCTGTTTCTAATGTAGTCAGGGAAAACTATCACTCTATTTATAGTGGAAATTATTTTCCATTTGAGATACATTTATTTTATGTCTCCATAATACTGAATATCCAGATGGAAAATTTTTAAATATAGTGAACCCATTAGCTGTGAATACCAAAGTAATTAGGTAATTTTTCCTAAAGTTTTTTGATGTTAGCTCAACAAATGGATATAACCTTGGCAATCTCTTACTTTTTATGCTTAGCATAAGTAAGACTTTGGTTTTGGCTTATATCTTATATCATTGTTTTTCTTATTTACCTTTGCCTATAATTTTTACAGAAGGTTGAATTAAGTGAGATAATTCAACTAAAACATTTACCTTCAATGTTACCCTTTAATATTATCATAACTCATCAGTATTCCTCAAATAAATACTTCAAAGCAATGTTTCCCATACAAATTTGACCACTGAGACTTTTTTCCTTTTATTGTTTTTAGAGATTTGTTAAAACCACAGTTTGGGAAATGCAATTCCAGATTAGGCTATTAGTTTATACAATTAAGATATACTTGTACTCTACTTTCTAAAATACATTGATCATTCTAGGAAAATGTGGCTGTCATGTGTCTCTGTAACTGAACTATTATAATTATGATTGTAAGTATATTTAGTACCAATATTATACCTATGGCAAAAGTTGCAGATTATTTTTAAATACCTACTTAATTTCTTTTCCATATCATTAATGATCATCTTGATCCTTATCAGATGTTTTGAAAAGATACCAAAGATTAGTGATTCAGTTTTTAAATCTCTAAATTTGCCTATCCAGGAAGGCTGTACTTGATGGTGTATTTCATGTTACTTCCTAGTTAGTCATTTATTTATATGGCTGCATGGAAATTATAAATGCCAACAATCTATATAGAGAACTTAACATATGTCCTGTTATGACTCAAAATATCTGTACAGTATTTTAAATATGTATTAATTGTACTACTAATCATTATAATGAAGATAATCCTCATTGCCATCCAGTAAGTTCTAAGTAATGTACAAATACTTACACAGATGAGCCAGCTACATTTATGTAGGAACAGGGCTTAATGGCACAAACTGGCATAGGCTGATTATTCCTAACCTCATGTTACCTTTGTAAACTGCCTCATATGTTATGTAGTGAGGGCTTGGAAAGTGTAATTATGTTGTTGGTTGGCTGGCCACTGTTAAATTCATCCCCAATAAGACAGGAAGAATTTAAATTGGGCATTCTTCTCTTCCTGCTGAAAGTGACCACATGTTTATAGCACAGTGGAGTAATCCATCTGCTCCTGGATGTTACATTAGGTTACATGTTAAGATGGAAATAAAACATAACATTTATTTAGAATTTCTAGTCCAAGATGCAATTATTTACACATATTAAATACTATACTACTTTGATACTAAACTATTGAACGTTGATCACCCAACCATCATGATCAGAAATAACCTTCAACTAGTCACTATGAAAACACCACTCGCCTTTGTCATTTCAACTTATTTTAATTTATTGACCATGAATACCTTTCATGTCTATATTTGTCTGGCCAAGAATTCCATAAGGTCTAGGTCTCTGACCCTAAAGGTAGAGTCTACATTTGATTTTTCTTCCTATTATGTGCCAGCAGCTAGGAGAGTACCTACATAAAGTAGAAGCACAAGAAATATTTGTTGGATGAAAAGTAAACTAGCTTGACGAATATTGTCTTAGCTTGTATTACAATATTATCTCTCAAATATATACCTGCCCTCATTTTCTACCCTCTAGTCCATGTTATAAATTTCAGGTATACACTCTTCTGCTTATATAAGCTTTCATTTAAATATTTACCTAAATTTGGTCCTTGAAACCATGTGCAGTGCTTGTATAACAAATTTCTAGTCCTTATCTCAGACCTACTGAATTAGAATCTCTGGGATGGAGTTCCCAGAAAAGCCCCCTGAGTGATTCTCTTCAAAGACTCAGAATCCCAATTAAATAATTTCACCAATTCTACTCTGTTCGATGTATTCCTGTTCCTATTAGTGGAATTGTTTTGTGACTATAAATTCCTGGAAGGTGGGTGAGGTTACACAGCAATTTATACCTCATGGAGAATAGATAGATTCTTGTAGTTCTGAGAATATATTCCAGAAAACTCTTGGGGAATGTTGGTGGGCTGTTTTTTTTTTATGATCCAGCTCAGTGATCTTGCACATGACTGCCAATGGGCTCTTCTTTAGGGATGCTCCCTTTTTCTGATCTTGGAGAAGTGGAGAAAAAGCAAGGCATCTTATTCTGCTCCTGATTAGATCAAAGTAAAATGGTGGCAAAGCATTGGGATCATTGCTTTCTAGTGTTTTGAGTGTGTGTATATGTATAAATCAGTATGAAATATATCTCCAAAGAGTTAAATACACTAAAAATTTTCAGCACCTAGAAAAATGTTCCATTTGTAATTACTGGATGAACAAATAGATTTTCATGTCTCTTTCCAAATAATGTTTGATATCAAGATATAATCATTTGGTGATTTTGGAAGGATAGCTTTGGCATTTATATTTTT